ATGTCTGGTAGAATTCAGCTGTGAACCCATCTGGAACTGGGCTTTTTTGGTTGGTAGGCTATTAATTGCTGCCTCAACTTCAGCCATTGTTATTGGTTTATTCAGGGTTTCAACTACTTCCTGGTTTACACTTCAGAGGGTGAAAGTTTCTAGGAATTTATCCATTTCTTCCAGGTTTACAGGTTTATGTGCATAGAGTTGTTTGTAGTAATCTCTGATGTTAGTTTTCATTTCTATGGAATTGCTGGTAATATCCACTTTATTGTTTTTTATTGCATCTATTTGATACTTCTCTCTTTTCTTTTTTATTAATCTGGCTAGTGGTCTATTTCGTTGAACTTTTCAAAAAATCAGCTCCTGGATTTCTTAATTTTTTGAAGGGTTTTTGTTTCTCTATCTCCTTTAGATTTTTGAGCAAAATATGCATTTGAAGTTTGCATTACCACCAATATAAACCATTGCACCCCTGCTGGGTATAAAAGGTATCTGGGCACAGTTACTGTCCAGGGATTGAGAACAACTCTGAGTGAATTTGCAGTACGGAAACTATTCCCTATTACTTTCAATTTGCTCCTCATGGGATAGGTCTGATTTCACTTACTGGGTGTTTAAGATTGTATTCAACACTATACATGGTACTATTTAGGCTAAAAACAAACTAAGTGTGTTTCTAGTTCTAGAAAAACCATCTGAATACCTATATTGATTCTTCATTGGAAATGAGCTCAAAAATCCATTTAATTACCTATATAGGTACAGGAAGAGCTCTGTAATTAGGACTGTCCTAAATGATATTCAGATTGTTTCTTGCTCAAAGACCTCATGCAGAGAAGATGAGTGATGTCTAAAATCTACCCTGTGCTCCACTTGTCCAGTATTACACCTTGTTGGCTTGGAGGAAGGGGTATATTTATATAATTTTTCCGCCTAGAGATGATGGAGGGATTTATGCTCACCATGGCCCTGTCAGTAACTGAACAACATAGGCCATCTTAAACGAATTGTACCTTTTCAATATGTACTGAACACTCCCACAGGACCCATTACAATACAAACTCTCTATGAGGATTTGGTGGTACAAAAATAAACAACATTTAGAATGTCTTCTAACTAGCTTATATCCAGTTTAAATTTCAGTGTGTTTTGGAGAATATCTGGTAGGGAAACCAGTATTTAGTTTTTCAAACTGTGTTCTGTTCAGCATGTTGCAGGAGTCACACAGCTCTGTTTGTACTAAAATGGAGAAGGAAGGGAGAAAAGAGATAAAATGACAAAACTTTTGGCGTAGAGGAGGAGTTACCCAGGGTTACAACAGTGGAAGTGTTGTTAGAAAGACAGGAGAACTTTGATAATTCGCAACATAATGTGAATGTAAGAAAGATTTCCACAACTGAGGAAAATGGCAATGATTTATAGTGTTTAACCAATTTAAGACAAAGGAATACTTAGTGTACTTTTCTACCTGGAACTGTGTAAGATAAAGATAATGGCATGACTGAGGTCAAAGCTTAGAAAAGAATTATCAAAATTGTTTAAGGCTTTTTAAAAATGAATGACATAGAGAGGTGGACGTGTGTAAATGAAGAGGATCAGCCTTTGTGTTTTTCTATGGCATTTAGGAGAAAGCAAATTGCTATGAACTACTCAGGAGGTGAAAAGTTTTATATTTTTGCTAATGGAATCATTTAAAGAGAAAATCAGACAGATTTGGGTGGGAGACTTTGAGAATTCTCACAGTGGTTAGAATTGCTAACATCTAGACTAAGCTGCACCATGCTGATGGATTTTATTGTGGAAGTTTTTTTTTAATGATTGAATTATTTTTTAATGATTGAATTTTTTACTGTAGTAAGCACATTTAACATGAACTCTCACCATTTAACATGTTTATATAATACATTACTATTAACTATAGGCATGATATTATATAAATCTCTAGCAATTATACATTTTGCATAACTGAAACTTTATACTTTATGGGGAGTTTCTCTTCACCAATATAACATTTTGGGGGAATATGAGAGATGATGAATGTACAAGTGTCAGTACAGACTTCTTAGGTGTGAATCTTAGCTCTGCCACAAACATGTTGTGAGACATTACCCAGTGTTTCTGGGACTCTGTTTCCTTATTAGAAAAAAGAGATGGGCAAAATGAGATGCCCTTTTCTCAACGTTGTTATGAAAACTTAATCAGTTAATGCATCTAAAATAACTTGGTATCTATGCAGTAATATTGATATTATTATCATAATTCCTAAGCACATACATGCCAAAGAAGCCATACATTTGACTTTTGAAATATAAAATTCATAAAACAAGGAAAAGAGCTCCAAAATGGGTAGAATTTTCAAGTAAAAAATAGAGAAAAAAAAAGTTTTCTATCAAAATCAGTTCCTTCTGGGGATTAAGAAAAAGTTAGTACAAAGGGACAGCATGAGCAAATTTTGGAGGATGGTGGTTAATTGCCTTACTGTGAGGGTGGTTATACAACTTTAAGCATTTGCCAAAACCATAGAATTGTATGCCAGAGAGTTAATGTTACTGTGGGAATAAAAACACCCTGAAACTAAAGGAAACTACGCTCATAAAGAAAAGAGAGACGGATGAAGAATAATCTGCAGGAGAAACATTATTCCTAAATAACTTTAAAGGGTGGATGGATTGGCAAGATTAAAAGCTATGGCTGGGGCCGGGCACAGTGGGTCACGCCTGTAATCCCAGCACTTTGGGAGGCCGAGGCGGGTGGATCACGAAGTCAAGAGATCTAGACCATCCTGGTCAACATGGTGAAGCCCTGTCTCTACTAAAAATACAAAACATTAGCTGGGCATGGTGGCACGTGCCTGTAATACCAGCTACTCGGGAGGCTGAGGCAGGAGAATTGCCTGAACTGGAGGTTGTGGTGAGCCGAGATCGCGCCATTACACTCCAGCCTGGGTAACAAGAGTGAAACTCCATCTCAAAAAAAAAAAAAAAAAAAAGCTATGGCTGGAGCAGAGACAGGAGGTTTGGGTGGTGTCAACAGCATTTTCTAAAAATTTGTTTTTTTCATTTGCCACTTAGTTTTCGCTCCCATAACTAAGTTTTGAAGAGTGTAAATCAGTCAAAGATATCAGCAAATTCTGAGTAACTCCTAACAGCACAGGGGAGTATCCTTTTGAGGCCTTCTGCTTTCCAATAAGTATCTGAAAAGTAGCCTCATCATATGGCTTTATCTGAATGATTCAACAGTTTCAAAATCAGTCCCATGCTTCCAAGTGAATCTAGAGTAGTGGAATTAACCTATAGCATCAAAACTAATCTAGCACCTGTAAGATATTTATTAACATAAAACAGAAAATGAAGCTACAAGTTATAAGATACCTATTATTATGAAAAATTTATATGGGCATTTTACTTCTTAACTGTTTTTGTAGAATTTTTTATTGTTTATGCTAGTTACCATAGAGTATTAAGTGTTCAGGGCACAATAAAGATATATATATATGCACATATTTTGCTTGAAAGGGGCAAAATGTATGAAATAATATTCATTTCTTATATAAGAAAACTAATTTTATTCTACTTACTTTACCTACAAAAGTTCCAGTATTATGTACAAGTGTGTATTTCAAAAGGGAAGTGCAAAGTTCTCCAGATGTTCTATGTGACCAAATAAAGCCTAGTACTAGTAATAAGTGTTCAAAAAATAGAGCAGGTCTATGAGTGATGTTTAACTTCTCAACACTATGCGGGTGAGACTCAGTTGATAGGTATTCACCAGTTTGCATGACTTCACATAAATCATATTAATCCTAATCCTCGCATGGCTATTATTTTTTTAGTGGAGCCAATAACCAGAAGCCCAGAACCCACTGGGTTTCCATAAGCTTTCTGAAGTCTTCTGTAAGTTCTGTGAATAGTGACATTTTTTTTTTTCTAAGAGATGAAGTCCTGCTATATTCCCCAAGCTGGAGATCTGTGGCTATCCACAGATACAATCAAAGCATACCTCAGCCTCTATCTCCTGGGCTCAAGTAATCCTCTCTTCTCAGCCTCCCAAATAGTTTGAACTATAGGCATGCTACTATCATGCCTGGCTCAATAATTTTCTTTAAAGTGACCAAAAATATCTCCTACATATTTTCCTGCAAAAGTATTGCTACTCAAGGTAGTTTAGGCATCCAACATCCCTTTTGGGTGGATGTAACTGAATGTTGAAAATAAGATGAGTGGCAGAAGATATAGGAAGAGAGCAACAAATCCGAAGTTAGAAATCTAAAGAAAAAGGAAGGAAAAATATGCAAGAACACCAATCACTTATATCAATATGGACCTAAAGGAATATGACCAAAGGTAGAGACATTCAAAAAGACCAGTTATTAATGAGCAGTTATACTGCTACTACAAAAATACCATAAACTGGGTAGCTTACACACAACAGAAATTTATTCTCACAGTTCTGGAAGCTGCAAGCACAAGATCAAGTTGCTGACAGATTCTGTGCCTGGGGAGAGCCTGCTTCGTGATTCTCAGATGGTGCCTCCTGGCTGTGTTCTCACACTGTGGAAGGGCCAGCTAGCTTAGCTCTCTAGGGTCTATTTTATAAAAGCACTAATCCCATTCACAAGGGCTCTACTCTCATGACCTAATCATCTTTCAAAGGTCCCACCTCTTAATACTATCATATTGTTGATTAGGGTTCAATATGTGAATTTCAGGGAGACACAAATATTTAGACAAATATTTGTCTATGTTTAGAAAATCCATGAATAAGGTATTATAGTCTAAACATTAAGATTTCCTGATCATAGCCTAAGTGCTTGCTTTTGAGTATCCCATACAATATTCATTTCTGGTTTTTAAAGAATAATCATTGCTTATAACTTCACAGTCAACAACAGTATTGGTGGAGTAAACTGTCAAAATTGTATTATACACACATGTACATTTACATAAACATATATATTATTTTAATATATATGTAGTATGCCTGATTATTATTTTTAAAATAATTACCTGGTTGGCATTTGCAAACATATCCATTGATGTGATCTTCACAGTTTGCACCATTTAGACATGGTGAGGAAGAGCATTCATTTATATTAATGTCACAAAATTGGCCAGAAAATCCAGGAAGACATCTAAGAAAAAAAATTAAAAATATATTTGTATATATTGTACACATGGGCAATATCACTTTTCATCTTGGGATTCCATCACTCAAATGTGTTTTCAGAGCTCCAATAACATGTACCTGGGAGCCTATTTTGGGGTGATACAATGAGTTGAATTGTGGCCCCAAAACAGTATGTCTAATACTTAACACTAAATATCTGTGATTGTGACTTTATTTGAAAATCTGGTCTTTGCAGATTTAATTATGTGTCTTGAGATGAGGTTGTTCTGAATGAGCTCAGTAGGCTCTAAATCCAGGGACAAGTATTCTTATAAGCACAGAAGAGAGAGACCCATTGGGAGAAGGCCATGTGAATGTACACATAAAGATTGATGTTATGCAGCCCTAAGTCCCGGAACACCCAGAGCCTCTAGGAGCTGGAAGAGGAAAGATAGGATTTTCTCCTAGAGTTTTCAGAGGGAGCATGACCTTGCTGATACTTTAATTATGAACTTCTGATATCCACAACTATGAACAAATAAATTTCTGTTATTTTAAGCTAGCAAGTTTGTGGTCATTTGTTATATCATTCTTAGGAAACTAATACAGGAAATTACATTATTGTGTGTATCTGATTAAATCCAAGTGAATTGTTTGAAAAGAAATAAAACAGAGGTCTCTAGGAGACTTCTTAAAATGGGGAAATTGGATGAAAGGTATGCTCCATAATAGGAAGAAGAGATATGGAAAGAGTCAATAGGTCAGAGACGATTGTATTTCCTCTTATTAATTTTTTAAAAATGCTTTTATATAAACCATTCAGATGTCACCTGTTAAACCATGTTTCAAGAACTGATGGAGGATCGACAACATTGATTAAAGTGTAATGTCCATAGCTATTGGTACAGATTTGTCCAGTACATACAACATGGAGATCCTTTATGAATGCTAAGAATACAAACACAAGTGAAACTCTGCGTCTGCCTTCAAGAAACAACGAGCCTAGTTGGGAAAATAGACAAACACAAGTATTTGATTGTATATAAGTGCTATAATCAGCATATAAAGAAATGAATTTTTATCACTCAAGGGCAAGAATAAGAAAATAATGTGAGTTAATCCAAAAATTGCAAGTAGTTCTGAATGGCTGAAATATAATGTGGGAGAGCACAGTCTGGTGATGCTGATGGAAAAGGATAAATTACATAAACAGGAATTAGATCATTATATAGTACTGGATCATAAGTTTTACCACAGCTAATATTTACTGAAAACTTATTCACAATATATAACTTTACCAAAGTTATAATACTAGCAAATTTGCAAAAGTAGAATTTTTTTTGTACTGCTTAGTCTGTACTGCTTAGCTGGCCAAATTCAGCCACTCTGTTTTATTTGGGTACACAGTTGCTTAGGTGATATAAAAGTTAAGTTTTGATTTTCACTGCAACTAACTTTACCCATCCAAAGCTAGGTAACTATAAATTTTAGACAATTCGGAATGCTAGTAACTCTATTATCCTAGATCCTTACCTAGCTGAAGACTTTCCTGACCAACAAACAATAAGACTTGCTTTAACCGTGTGTGGATTTATAGATGGTCTGATCTTGTACTGTCAAGATGAAATCTTCAGTATTCAATTGCCTCTCTCTCTTTGTAGCACAAAGAAACCCAGAGCAGTTTTTTTTTTTTTTTTTTTGAGAGGAATTCATCACTAGCGGTTTACTCTTATATGCAAGATAAACTTATATGCAAAATAAACTCAAGGGTCATTTTGTCACTATTTGAAGTGTTCATTGTCTTTCTGTGAATACCATAAGTTATTCTTCAAAGAAGCATTATCAATATATGTATCTTATTTATTTATTTATTTATTTATTTTGAGGCAGGTTCTTGCTCTGTTGCCCAGACTGGAATGCAATGGAGTGGCCCAATTATAGCTCACTGTAATATAAAACTACTGGCCTCAAGTAATTTTCTCATCTCAGCCTCCCATGTAGGACTATAGGTGGCATGCACCGTCACACCTGCCTAACTTTTGTGTGTGCATTCATTATATAAAATGGACATTTTGTGTGTGTCCATCATACAAAATGGGTCATACTATGTTGCCCAGTCACCCCATCAATTTATATTCTTGGCAGAATTATATAAAATATCCATATGTCTACATTCTTACCTATGAACAATATTAACATTGCTTATAATTTTCATTGCAAAGGAGAAAAAAATTACTTACCTAACAAAGATTTTTTGAAGGGAGGAGTATAAAAAAATTTAACAGAATTTGTATTTTGCGATAATTTTAGGTTAACGGAAGACTTGCAAGGGTAGCACAGAATATTCTCACATACTCTATATCCAGTTTCATTGATTATTAACATCTTAAATTAACATGGTATGTTTGTCACATATTACTACATTATTATTAACTAAATTTATGACACAATATTACTACATTATTATTAACTAAAGCCTATACATTATTGCAGTTTCCTTAGTTTTTACCTAAATGTCTTTTGTTTCTGTTCAAGAATTACCTAAATGTCTTTTGTTTCTGTTCAAGAATTCTATTCAGAATACCACATTACATTTAGTTGTCATGTCTCCTTAGGCTCCTTTAGTCTCTAATATTTTCTCATACTTCCTTGTTTTTGATGACCTCCACTGTTTTGAAGAGCATTGGTCAAGTATTTTGTAAACTATACTTCAATTTAGGCTTGTTTAATATTATTCCCATGGTTACACTGGTGTTACAGGTTTCTGGGAGAAAGACATCATAGAAAAGGCTCACTCTCATCACATTTTATCAACATTAATCTTTACAGGGAAGTTGCTGTGCACATCCCGTAATTAACAGATAAGGAGTCATGTACACCTCTTTAAAGGAGAAGTACCTGAATAAATAATTTGAAATAATTTATTCAGGTATATTTTTAAAAACTTTTCTGGAATTTTGAGTGAAATTGCTTTTAATCTGTACATCAAGTTGGAAGAAACATCATCTTTGAGTTTTTCAACCCATTTGAAGAAATATCTCTCCACTTACACATACCTTCTTTGATTTATTTCATGGGTATTTTATACTTTTCTATGTAGAGATATTGTAAATATTTTATTATATTTATATCCAAATGCTTCATTTTTGTTTATTGTTCTAAGTGGTTTGTTTTTTTGTTTCTTCTTTCCAATATTCCAGTGTTCATTCCTGGAAACCAACTGACCTCTGTACGATGATCTTTTATCATATAAACCTTGCTACACTGGCTTATTAGGCCCAAGAGGCTTTTTTTTCCTTTTTTTTAAATAGTAGATAGTAGAGTTTTCTACAAAGAAAATTATCTTCTCCAACAATAATTATTATACCTGTAAATAAAGACCATTCTATTTCTTCCTGTTCAATCAGCACACCTTTTATTTCTCTTCCTCATCTTATTGCACCCAGTAGGACTTTTAAAAGAATATTAAATAGCACTGTTGTGACGGGAAATGCTTGCCTGTATCAAATTTTAAGGAGAAAGGGTATAGTTTTCATCATTGAGTAATGTTAGCTGTAGGTTTTTAAAATGTAGCCTCTATTAGGTAAAGGAGGTTACCTTTTATTCTTAATCTTTTTGACAGTTTTTATGAGTGGAAATTGAGTTTTGCCAAGTGATTTTTGTGCATCAAGATTATATGATTTTTCTTATTCATCTGTTGATATCATATAATCATATTGATTAACTGATATATGATATGATAATGATTGATATAGTCATATGTATTTTTCTTGATCAAGTGTTAATATAGTGAATTAGATCGACTGCTTTGTGAGTGCTAAGCTTTGCTTTCCTGGAATGCACTCCACTTGCTAATTTCAGAGTATGTTATTGCAGTCATCTTCTTGTTATTTGTAAAGGGCCTATTATTTAAATTTTAAACTTTTAATGTTAAACTTTTACTCTTCGTTCCTTCAAGGTTATGTAATGTTTACATTCTTAGCTTGAATGGAGGAAACATTTTCAAAACTCCTATAAAATAGAAGTGCATTGCAATTTATAACCCTATGTTTCACAAAAATATTTACACAATGATCTGTAAAAATTTATAACATATGGGGAAATTGTGCTATTTATATTGGTATTATAAGCAGTTTTATCCCATACATATTTATTTACTTTATAAGCATTTTAATAAAATGCCTGACAGATTGAAATAACATACCCGACTTGTTTATAGAAAAGGATTTATTAAAAACTATTAAACACTACTACATAATGACACTGTCACACTAGGGTTTTGACACAAGAATTGCTCCGCCATACTAGGAGAATGGGCAAAAAAGACAAATTAATTTTGCAGCATAGCAACTATAAAATATGACACTCAAACAATTGTTAAAAATGAGAACTCAGAACTTAGCATTAGACAGGCCCAATGTCATGCTTCCATTTAGCTTACTGATACAAAAAATTTAGTTTAACTGCTATTTGCAGGTGACAGGAGCCACTCTCAAATGATTCTTCAAATTGGTAAACACTGTTTTACAATCTGTTGTTGCAGATAAGAAGTAAGTTAAATTATTTTGTATGGTTTGCAGCTGTTTGGATAACAACCTGGCGTGGATGCTTTCCAATAACCATGCTGCTAGTCACCACTTACTACCCAAGTCCCTCCTGAAAATCCTCCTTTAGGCCCTTACTAAGGTTGCTGATACTGTTCCTTTGATACAGCTACTTTTATTTTACATTGATTAAGCCCAACATCGTACTATTTATTTTCCAGTATTTCCTTCACTTGTTTCTGTTCCTGAAAGATAAAACATAACCCATGTCTGCTGTTGGTCTTGTCCATGGGAGTTTTATGGATTTTACCACTCCAAAAACAGCACTTGATTCATTTATTAAGATAAGTTATGAGGCACATAACAAAGCAATTCTCCAGAATTGCTTTATTTGTTTATCAAACAAATAAAATGTGCCTGGTATCATACCACTAAGGTAAGAAAGAAGAAGCTTTCAAAAACAGAATTTTCATCTCCCAGA